ACAAGCAAAATTGAAAAAAATTATTAAAAAAAAATTTATATGGAGGTATTAAAATAAAAAAACATGTAACTTTATTTGGATAATTGACAGGATGAAAATTTTTATAATGGTACTTGAAAGGATTCCAAACCAATGGTGTCTACCAACCAATTATATGTATATTGTATATATGTATATATGTATATATGTATTTATAAATTTATATGAATAAATCTATAAATTTCTATACCAATAATAATAACTGAAATACTAATTGAATATTTATATTAATACATACGTATGTATACTCGTACATAATTCACGTGTAACATTAACCAACTATCAAATTAATGCAATTGATAAAATATAATGTAAAGTTGTTAGAAAACAAACAATCATAACTATCTCAAAATTAACATGCATAGGAATATCTTTCACGTTCAATTTTTAACCTAAGCCATGTGAGTCGTTATGCAAAAATTAAGTTAACATACTGCTATTTTTAAAAAGCGGCATAAAAAATTGCGTGATTCAAGCTTAAGAAAGTTCAAGAAAGTAGTATATGAATTGACAAATCAATTTCGACAATATTCTTGGACTAATATTTAAATTAAACAACCACTTCGACCTTACTAAATTTGAATCCTATTCCATCAGTTATGCTGCTTAATCCGTATTCAGAAGATTATTAAAATGTATTAGTAGTTTAATTACTAATAATTACAATCAAAATAAATTGAAACTGATATTCATTAGCATCAAAATGGATCCAAATTATTACATTTGTATATTTGAAATGATATAACAATTATAATATAAAATACAGTATAATATTAAATATAATAAAAATATTTATTATATTAATAAATTTTTATAACATCGCTGTATGCAAGATAATATATAAAAGAAAAATTATTCAAATATTAAACTATTTTTAAAACATTATAAGAAAATAAAGAGTAACATCTTTAACAAATTAAATTTAGACCAATTTAAAATATAATAATTAAAATTATTTACATACATCAGTTATGTTTTAGCTTTCCCTCAATTATAGAATTTAAATTTATATTAGAAAATACAAAACATCCCTTTTTTATTTAATATCATATTACACTTTAGTGTATACTTGTTAGTATCCAATTATTACAGAAACTATTTTTCAAATTATTTAATATTTGTGTCTATATTTTTATTAAACGGAAACTAAAGTATGAAATAATTATTCAAAACATGAGTATAATGGCCAAGTAATATTTAAATAAAATAAATGGAAATGATTATATCAATAAAAAAAATAGGATTTATAAAAAATTACTATTTTTAAATTTTTATAAATATAAATAAAAATAAATATAGATACTTTTATACTTTATCATACAATTTATTTATATATTTGTAAAAATTCGGAAAATTATATTTACAAAAACATATGTTGTTAGTAAATAACTGTAAAATTCTTCTTAATCATTACAATTTAATGAATCATAATCTATTTAATAATATTTCTGTCAATTTTATAAAATTTTAATGGTTCAAATTTTGTTTAATTATTGAAATGGTTACAAATATAGTGTAGTGATTAAAAACTTCACGATAATAGTTGTTCATAAAAATCAATTTTCTTACGATTAACAACATGTATCCAAATAAACGCATTGAAAGAAAATTTCCAGATATACAAAAGAAAATAATAAAGTTTTTGAAAAATAAATATATCTCTATTAATTATCGAATGCTTCATGTATAACATTATTGATTTAAAATTTTCTTTTACCTAAATATAAAATCAGATTTGTATATATTATTGATTATATATTTTTTTATTTTATTTTTCTATATTTTATATTTAATGAAACTAAAATATTAATATAATATTTGAATGTATTTATATTTTCCACTATATATACATAAATATATTACTTGCGTCTTATTTTCTCCAATCTAATACATGCGTAAAGGCATATATGTAAATAATTATATAATAATAATACAACGAAACAATGGTACGTCTTGCAATTACATTATAAATTAAAATTTAATAAAAAATTGTGCTCAAACATACATAAAGATATATAATTAAATTTAATAACATCATTTTATCATGTAAAACATTATTCTTTTGTATAGAAGAATTTTGAAAGTTTTTACATTTTTCAATTGAGCTTATCAAATAAATGAATGAAATAGATGAAAGAAAAAATAATTTCCAGAGACAAATTACTAAAAAATATTTGAATATAGAATAATGATAATATAAAAATCAAAAACTTGGATGAATTAAAAAAAAGAAAATTTTCATTTGTTACTTTATTTATTTTGATAAAAATAAATATGTTTACATAACCAAAGATAAGCTAACTATACAATTTAATTATTATATTCCCATAATATTCTCTTTATTTGAATAATTTTCCCAAATAATAACATTATTTTCTATGTTTTCATAATGAAATAAATTTATGAATAAATTTATGAAATAAATTTACAAATATCAATTCGAAATAGAACAAATGAATAAATGAACAAATATATTAAATATATCTGTTGAATGTGTTGTGTCAAATATGTCTGCGTCAAAATATACGAAAATGGTATGATACTGATTAAAATTTAATCTAGAAGCTTATCGAGTTAAATAAATAAATTCATTATTAATGAAAATTATTATCATTTATTATAAAAGATAAATGTGTCATTATAAATGCAACATTTTTCACAGTTTATCTTTATACATCTTAAATAAAATAAATTCAAAATATTTTTATGTTATATCAAAGCTTCTAATTCATAATAATTTGAAGTGCAAATATGATAACGATCATTGATTACTAATAATTTAATTTATATTATTATTTATTTAATATTAAATGTATTATTTTATTATATTATTTAAATAAATTAATATTTCAGGCATTAATTGACGATATTTGACCGTTAATTTTTTGTGTTCTGATTCATTATTAAAATTCAATGATTATCGATATTACAATATAAATTAGACAATGAATATTATTTTTATAAATATCCGTGGATTTAAATGATTTTATTAAAATTATTATGTACTTTTGTCGAGTGTGCATTAATATATTTGTATTCCTTACTGTAATCATTTATAGAATCCTCAATTATTTATATTAAAATAATTAATTGGTTAGTGGTACTTGTAGTTATTTAGCTAATTATAAATACAATCCTTTTCAGATCTTATGCGTAGTTATTTATGAAAATTTATATTTAGAGTAAAATAATGTTTTGAATATATTTTTAAATGTAGGCAAAGACGTTGCATACATATATATGAACATAAGATGAAGAAATCAACGGTTCACACATTTAATATTGTTTTTAAATTGTCAAGGATGTCAATACTTTCATTTCGACGTCTGTGCTCGTATTAACTAACCTGTTTATATTCAAAATACACTTTGCATTATTTTCAATCGAATTTGAATTCAATGCTTTGCTTGAAGTTCAATACAAAGTGAAGAATATATAAAAGTAATACTTCGGCTTTTCTCATTTTAAAATATGCATTTTATGTATATTTATATAAAAATTAGGACTATAAATTTTTTTATTTTTATGATAAATTATTGGAAAATTAAAAAAAATGGGATTAGCAAAGTTTTTAAATAATTACACAACAAGAAAATTAGTTTTATGAATTCTTTTATTATTTAATCAACTTATATACAATAAAAAATAATTCTTCAATATAGAAACTATATTTTTAAAAATTAACGGAATCATTTGTATTCTTTTAATGCTAGTTTATACTGACGATAACTATTTGTTATTTTATATATTCAGCAAAGTTTCAATAAAATGAAGATTGCTTTATATTTATAAATCCGAATTTGCTATTAATATGATGGAAATTAAATCAACTAAAATTTAAAATAATTAACAAAATACTGAATTCTGATTAATCATTATGTAGAGATATTTAATTCGTTAAAAACAGATATGCAGTTTGCAATTAGAAACTTTATGATCGACTATTTTATTCTATTATTAACAGATATAAATTTCCAAATATAACTTGTCAAATAATAAATTTTAAAGTTTTTACAAATTGACAAGTATATAATAATTGCTATTTATTATATCTTAATTCTAATTACTTTTTCAAATTAATATAAAAAATGTTATTGCTTAAGCCATATATTTAAATATTGATATTGAAGTCGTATATGTATTTAGTTTTAATTTATTCTAATATTTATATTGGATAATTCATTACAACAAAAATACTTATCTTTATAGTATGTATCATTCAATATTTTCTATAGAATTATATGTATTTGATTGAATAATAATTCTTTATTTTTTATACCTTACAGTATTTCATTAATAATTTAATTAATAATAAATTAATTTAATTTCCATATTTTATATATTTTAAAATATCATTCAGAAATGAAATCTGTGGTATTTTTAAATTCAAAATTTATATATTAATCTAATTTTAATTTCATATTTATTCATAAATAAATTACTTAAACCATTTTTGTATTTTTATTAAAAAAATTTCAGTCTTATATGCATTCAATTAAAAAATGATTAAGATTTTTTGTATATCAATTTGAAATATACACGATATTAAAAGTTTTTTATTGAAGGAAAAGATTTCAATGTTAATAGCAATCGTTTGATAAACTTAAAATATCGGCAACATAGATATTTCGGTTATATTCTTTTAAATTTTTTTATAGTCAACTTAGTTTTATATTAAATTGAATAAAAATTATTTTAAATTAAAACATTTTATGAAAATCATAGCTTTCTTTTATTCATGCATTATTTGAATAATATTATAAGTGAAGTATAAAATATAAAAATGTGTATACATTTCTTAACCAATTACAAATTAATCTAATTAGAAATTAATAATAAATTAATGGAAATAAAGAAAATACACAGATGATTTCTATGATAAACCAGATACATTAAAATAAATAAATGATCATTAGCCGATTTTAAGGTTTTTTTCCATTTGAGATAAAAATATAAAAATTCTTAAACTCGACCCAAACATTTTCTTTATATCTTCTATAATTATTTCGATTAACTGTATTCATACAATACAGAGATCAGTGCTAATAATCATAATAATGGTAAAAGCAAGCATTAACTGAATATTATGTTGAAGTACAATGATTAATAATGTAAGTATAAATTCTTAAAATTGTAAGGCACTATAAGTGTATTATTTTCAGTTGTAACATGTTTTTTGACCTTCCAAATAATCAATATTTTTTAGATAACCTTAGATCATTCATCATATAATATTTATTACCTTGCAACATTCTATGAATTTTGAAAGGTATTATAGGTGGACAGAGTAGACATTTTTTATTTATAATAGATTTAAAATGAAATATGCTATTGGAACTATCATACCAGTTTGACTCCAACCTAATCCACAAGAAGCTTTAACGATCCACCAAATAAAAGATAGAATGATTACTTTTAATAATAAATGAATTATAAGCAATCTGAAACAATTATAAATTATAATAATTACATAACAATAGAATTACTATAGAGAATATAACATTCTATAAAGAATATTATATTTAAAAATATAAATTAATTTTTATTTACAAGAACAATTGAAACTGAACTAGCGATTACTTTTCCATAATTTCATTAAATTCTGTATAATTAAATTTTATTTACTTTATATTCTTACAAATTTGGTGGAATAAATTTGATTTTTCTTTCCATAAAAACTATTAATACTACATGGTAATAAAATGAGATATTTCTTACTATAAATGTTTTTGAAAGGTAATAAATGTCTTACATTTTATCCTTTCTTTTAGCTTTGTTTAACGTTTTTAAAGGTTCATTGTGCAAATATATTCTAACTCCCTTTGTTAAATCAATAAAATATGTTTCCCAATCAATGGTTTTAATATCTAAAGTAAATTTTTCTTTATCTACTTCAGAAAGTGTTTCATATAATTCCAAAGTATGATTATTGTAAAACTTCCATTCTGAAAAAATAAATTTTTCCAATCGTTTTAAGGATTCATTGACGTTGGTGTGAAGTCGAACTAACCTAAAAAAATAATTTTAAATAAACTTTTTTATTTAATAAATTCATTGTAGTAATTTTAATAATGATTTAAATATGACTAACATGGGTCTTCCACCAGATATGCGAATAATTGTATCTAAAATATAAGCCGGTATCATATGTACAAAAAATGCAGAGATTCTAAACCAAAACAAAGATGGAAGTAATTTTAAATTTGGATACCATATAGCACTAGCTAATGGATAACTATGTAAGTATATATTAATCTTATCTGAAACAGCGGCCCACTTGAAAGGTGTACATGTACTTGATGTCAAATGATAAACTTTCACTGCTTTCAGTCTAGAACAAAACAAATAAACAATTCTAATACCATTTTAAATAAACAGCATTTTAAATTTTCAGAATTTAGCAAATAAATTTTACAAAAAATAAAAATAATTAAATTATAAATTCGTAATAATTTATTACCTTCTATTGTTTATATTTAATCTAATATAAACATTTTAACAAGTATTGTAAAATATTAATTGTAAATATTTATCGTTGAATTGAAGATTACTTTTATTCTATATCTTTGATTATTATGCTCACCCATCTCGCTCAATGATATATGCTGCTATTACGAGACTATTGACTACAATATCAACTGGAATGTAGTCATAAATTAAATCTTTAGCTACTGGTAAACGTCGAACTATTCCTTTACTTGCTCCCATTAAAAATCCTTGTGGCCCATTTTTGGAGATAGTCCACCCTGGAATTGGCTCTTTCCAAGCTCCTACAACTACAAAAAATATAGATAAAGATATATTGAATAATATAGATATAAATTTATATAATTTTAATTTGGATAGGTTATAAGCGTATTTATAACATATTTCTCTGATTTAATACAGTAAGCAGATTCTGAATAGACAATTATTATAAATGAAAATGAATATCATTGATTATTTTCATAAGTACATTCAATATAAATATATATTTAATAATAAATGCAATAAATACCAGCTATCTATTATAAAATATAAAAACAATTAAAATAAAAAATAATTACTTCAACAAATAAAAATACAGAATACACATTTTTTATAACTGATTGTACTTATTAAATAAATAAGTTCATTAAATACAGTTATCGTTTTCATGATTTGAATTAAATAATAAATACACTTTTTTAAAACATATATTTACTCATAGATGGTCGAATAATTACTGCTGGCAACTTTGAATTTGCTATTTCATGTTCAGCCAAATGTTTTGTAAAGGTATATGGATTGGGATGATCTTTTATTATATCTGCCGTTGCTTCATTTAATTCATTATCATTTAATTCTTTAACTTGCTTTAAAAGTTCGTTAACATCCGTAGGTGCTGGATAAATATGTTCATAAACCTCTTTCAGCATTGAATTTACATAGGCACTAGAGACATGGATTAAAGCCTAAAGTAAATAGTGCCATGATTAATAAACACATTTAATATATTATTCACAATATTTCTCATTTTAAAATAAAATAAAAAATAATAAAATTGAACTTTAAATATAAATCACATAATACTTATAAATATTTTTATCTAAGTATAAAATAAATTTGAATTTATAGTGATTTAAAATAAATGCCTAGAATTAAAAAAGAGTATCAAAATCATATGTACATAAATTATAATATTTTGTTCAGTTTAACATTTGATAAATACCATTATTTATAAATTTTTAAAAGTTAAAAGAAAAATTTGTTATAATTTTATATTGTACATATTTTACTGGTTATATTAGAATAAGAATTAATTTATAAAATAATTTTAACAATAATAAATAGGGAGAAGTACCAAATGTAAGCAACATTAGAACACTTTAAAAATTTATTGACCTTGAGATTTCTTAATTCTTGACAAAATTCTACCACTCGTCTTGTACCAAGTAAATTAATATTGACTGTAGATTTTAAGTCGGCTTGAAAATCCAATGTAGCTGCTGAATGGAAAACAATTTGAATATGTTCTACTAATGCTAATCTATCCTCGGAAGATAATCCTAGATGATCCTCTCCAACATCACCACCAACTGGTATCAACTTTTTGAAAAGTGCAGTCTGTCCTTCTTGTTTAATTTTATCAAATACCTAAATGCATAATTTCTTTTAAATTATTAACATAATATTACAATAGGATATATTAAAAGATAAAACTAAAATAATAAATTGGATTATAATTAAATATGATTTAGCCATTACTATTTACTAATCATGCGGTAATATAAAATTTATTAATTGTTATAAGCATTTTGTATCCTGATAAATATTTCTATATGATAATCTTAATTTTAAAGTGAAAAATTAATACAAATTTTATATTATAAATTATAAAAAAAATAAAGAAATAAGCAATGTAAGAAATAAGAATGAAATATTTCAATAAATTGGATAAAATAAGGTTTATAAAATTGAAATAAATAAATGGATTGTTTTTATTCAAAATTTAAAATCAATAAAAATGTTATAAACATTTAAACTTTGTCAAGAAAATATAGTGAAAATAAATTTATTATTTAAAGAAAACAGAGCAAAAGTATAAATAATTCATTATATTATAATAAAATTATGAAAATTATTTATTAACTATATTAAATGTAAACAAAATAAGGATTAGACATTTAATAGGAAAAATTATTATTAACGACTTTAAATTTTTTTTTAAATTATAATGAATAATATTAAATTAAATGTTTTGATTTGGCATGATAGACCAGTGGAAATTTGATGGAAGTAAGTTGAACGTTAAAAAGAAATGTTTGCATCAACATTTCCAAAAGCTCATTATTAATCACTTTTTTATGCAAACGTATATGATTCTACTCACGGAGTTGTTGATGACGTCTTGCATTCTATCTTGAGCATTCTTGCCTTTTCTCGGCCTTATCAATATGTAGATATTTTTGACATCGGGACAACAGCGAAGTATCTTCTCTATGACGGAAATACCGAGAAAACCAGTGCCGCCGGTTACAAAGATATTTTTACTATTATAAAATTCTGCTACTTGTGATGACATGTTTCAAAATTAGAGCCTCTACTTAATATAAAATAATAGGTACAAAGATATAAGCAAAAGCCAAAAGCTTATGTTGGACGCTTATATCTTAATAATTGCAATTAACCACGATGTATAAATTATTGTATTTTGCACTGATGAGCAGCTTATATTCAACAAATGAATCAAAGCAACGTACCAATCACCAATAATACACTGATCGTTCTGTATACGCGAATAGCTAAAGAAATTATATCATAAAATACCAAGACTTGTACGCGGCGGCGGCACTGCCGGTACTACTCTTATTTACTAAGCAGTGCTACTATTAAGTATAAGCATTACTAGCCGGGAGTCTTAACTGTTAAGACGGTGAAAAGAGTGATGCGCATGCGATGTAATACGTCCCCTGACTCCTAAACAATTTACGCATGCGGACTCCGCTACTAGAACGTCGACTATGTTATGCGAGAGAAAGTAATGTTTTATGAAAATAACGTAAAGCGTGAGTTTATGACACTTTAATTTAATTTTACTCATGACAATTTAAGGCTGTTCAAATGTATCTCATGTTTAGTGTTTATTAATTAAATATAAATGCTGTATAAAATTTTCGATTCTGAAAAACATAAATTTTTTTTATAATTTAAAATATGAAAATTTTAATACTGAATATAAAAAGTATTTTAATAACTAAAAAAAATTATTTCTGTACAAAATTGGTTTATTGCTATATCTAAATTATATTTTACTGCAGTTTTAGAAAATTAAAATTTACTTTACAAAAATAATGATTCATAGTTTATTATTGATTTAAAATATTTATACACAATGTTTATATGTAACTTAAGACATATAATGTAATTAGAACAAGAAAAACAAATTTTTAATTAAATTTAAGTTAATTTAAATTACTTATATTCTAAATATATGAAGATTACATTAATTAAAAATATTATAATTTTTTTTTTTTTTGCAATATATGTTTATATTAATAAATGGGTCCCTATCACAAATATTTTCAATTAAAATCGTAACCGACTGAAAAATTCGTGTAAAATCATCGATATAAACTTCAGAGTTGTACGATACATTTAAAAACACTATTTATTAATGCAGATCTAATATTATAATAATAATTTAATTTTGTACAATTTTAAAATAAATTCAGAATGCCATTATTATAAAGATAAAATGTTTAATATTTATTTTAAATAATATTATTATCCTTGTATACACATTGGTTATCTGACCCAATAGGATATTTGAAAATAAATATATTTTCCATTTTTTAAATAATTATTTCAAATAATTACGGTTAAATTAAACAAAATTTAGGCAATTAATTAGAAAAAGACCAAGGAACTTAACATTTTCAACATCTTCAAGTATAATAGCAAATAACAACTTAAATAGTAGTATTTTGCAAAAAATTGTATTCTAAATTAGATTTTCTAAGGAATTTCAATAACCTACTGTTTTTAACAACCATATAAAATAAAGATATTTATAGTTTAATTTTTATAAATACAAAATTAAGAAGAAAATTTAACATTCCGAAATATATTCCTTTAAATTTTTAATAATATTCTATAACTTATAATTGAAACTACTTATTCATTAATTATCAGAGAATATTTTTTATTTCTATTTAAATTATTGAACGTATATTATTGACTCAATACTTTTCATTTTTATAAAAATCAAATTTAAATCGATCTTAAGCAATGCATATTTTATCTTTTAGCCGTTGCTTGTATAAGCTAAATAAGCTGAAATTGATGAATGTCTATATATTTTTATTTTTAGAAGTAATTGGTGTGTCTTTATTCTGAGGCAAGCAAAGTATGTTAATTATACTAAACGTGTACCTCTTAATTCAAGATTTGCTCTTTTCACTTTCATTAGCTCCTATGTATCATTTTGTAAATTATGTAAGTTGAGAGTTATGAAACATTTTATTACTCTATGAATTTTCGCGCATTTTATTTACAGTATAATTGTTATATTTTAAGCTGCAATATATTAGAATAATCATTAGCATCAGACTCTATTATAAGGTATTAGAAAGTATTCGGAATTACACACTTATTTTACAACATAAAATAATTTTTATTTTAAATAAAAAATCTTTGGATATTTTTAAAAAATGTTATTTTTCTATAATTTGTTTAATACTTTTTTATAAACAACAATGAAATGAATGTTTGAATAAATTTTAACTTTTAATAATCAAATATTATATTTTAATTTTAATCATTTTCTTTAAATTTTGACTAGTCAAATTATTTATAGTAGTATTTTCTTCAATGTTTGAAATCCATTTGAAATTATAATAATCTTCAGTGGTTAATCGATTAAAAAAATTGCAAAGCTATTCAAAATGAATATCTCAAACTTATAAACCTTATATTAATTTTTATTTCATATATCTGTAACAGTAATTAAATAGTTAAATTATTTAAACCTACAAATAATTTAATTATAAAAATTTTTAACTATTTTTACGTCTTTATTTAATAAATGCAAATAAACTCTTATCTATTCAACAAACGTGTAAAAAAAAATATGCAACAATATTTTTGATAAATTAAATTAGATGAGATTTAAATTCAGAAAGTAGGTGATATAATTAAAATACATTTTTTAAATGAAATACGAAAAATTAATAATATTTTTATTATAAAGGAATATTACAAGTAAAAAAACTTTAGATATTTTTGTTTATCTCATAAATAAAAATATTGTTGATTGAGTATAAAATATTTTTTATTTTTTAAAATAGAAAATGTATATTTTTGTATAAAAATTTACTTAAAATTAGATGAAATATAAATAAGACAATTGACAATTTAAAAAAAAAGATCAGAAAAGTTATAGTTAAATACTATCTGACTGAGAAAAACGTTCTCACCTAAACTCTGGTCAATTATCGATCAAGCTTAAAGAGGCAATGATTTTTTAAAATATATATTTGGCTTCAGTGACGAGGATGCATTTACGACTGATAAAGCCAAATTAATATTAGCACGAAAACAACAGCAATCGATACGGCTACTGGCAATTCAATTCCCAAAATATACACGAAGAAGCACGTAGCTATGGCGAAAGTAATTAGAGGCACTACAGCCGGAATTATGCGAGGCCAGTAAAAATGTATAACTAAATAATAAAAATGTCAAAATAAAATAGTCAAAGTAGAAATATGAGAGTAACTATAGAGTAGGATAGGAAGAAGAAATTTTGATGACTATAAATTATATGTACTTGCTATCATTTGTATTCTTTTTTTTACTTTATATATTATGTATTGTGCTACAGAAAATGCTATTTTAAAGATTATAAACCAGAAAAAATGAATACGAATTCAATTATGTAAAGTTTATAGCATTATTAATCTATAATATTTAAAAAGTTTTATAAACTACACCTATTCGATTAAAATTAATTCTTTTATAGTCATTTAATGTTTTAAAATATTGAATAACTTGAGAATTAAAATTATAAATTATATTCAGGTCGTACGTTATAAATTCATTTGGTTAAAAATCCAACTGATATAATTACGCTGCCATTCTTCGCACAGCTTCCTTTGTCGTTTATGTCGTTTCCTTAAGGAAGTAAGTACGAGTGCCAAGTACGCAAGTTTCCAAGTAGTCGTTTCAGTTGATCAAGCGTGGATCCATCGTATGGCTCTTGCGTTTTCCTTCGGACAACATTTCTATGAGCTCATCTGCGTAAGGCCTTGAAACTGCCATTCACGCATCGAAAAATCTGACGTATACTTATTGCCCTTGGTAAATCGACGTTGCAACTCGAAGACTAGAAAAAAGCTACTTTCGAAATATGACTCCATACGACGTGTAGAAAAATTTCATTTACATTCCTTGACATTTTGGTAAAACATTTTGCTTTGCAATTTATAATTAAATTGGAAGAGCAATTATAAAGTAGATGAAACTAAAAATTAAAATAATGAAAAATGATGTAATCGATTTATGATGAGAATTAGAGAACTAAACTTATATATAATTCTTTCCAAGGTTTACTGAATTTTGATGCACATTCAATATGAATATTAAATAATTAATTAGTAATGACTTATTAATATTAAAATAGTTACTTATCAAAAAAAACTATAAACAATCATTTCCATATTTGTTAAAACCTCTAGTTTCTACTATAAAAATTTCCTAAAATGATTATAAACCAATGTTTCATTTATTCTTCAGATTATTTGATAAATTTAATTTAATTTTTTATTCATTTTACCAAAAAAAATATCATATAGTATCAAAATTTTCATTATTCATTATATCAGCATTATTGTATAAAATTATCAGCAGGATATCTTATTAATGTATACAAGGTTATTAATAGCAGTCTAATTTTCCTACTTTCATAATGTATATGGAGAAACACTGAAAAACGTTTTTACAATAATTTTTTAAATATATTTAATCTTCTAATTATAAATACGAAAATAATCGAACCGTATACTAAAATTTGAGAAGAAATGTTACAATATATATGGAAATATTTATTAAAAATAAATTAATCATGCGCTAAATTGTTAATAAGATTTTAAGATTACCATAAAACCAATAGCATATACATTTGTGGGTTTGAATTTCCAAATGAGTATAAATATCAACATATATTTATGTAAGGCAAGAATACGTTTTTATATAATTAATCGAATAAGATCTTAAAGTTATTTTTTATTAATATAATTTTTTGTAACAGTCTCAATTGTAAAGTCAGTCTGCACAAAATTTATGCTAGTGATTGGTAATTTTGATATACTAGAATAAACTATAAATTAAAGAAATAATGAGTAATAGAAAATTAAAGAAACATAGTATTGAGCAATGATAATGTATTAGTAAATCAGATCATTAGAAAATATAAATGAATAGTAATTAAATTTTATAATATAGGTTCATTTCTTTAAATGCAAGTACTTCTATTTACTTCTTTTAACAATTTTACAAATATATAGTTTTATGTTCAGAAATGTACTCATGCATCTACAAAATTCAAAATTGACTGTCCATGTATACATTCAGTTATTTTCACGATTTTATTCAAATCATTAATTATGGCAGTAAATT